ACTTCTAAGACGGGTGAACTATCATGTGAAAATCTTTGAAATTGTATAATATTTTAAATACACAATAAAGATAAGCCGTGTCAGCCTGATGACAGATTAAAATATATATATATAAATTTTTATATGAAAATTGTTAAAAGGTTATATTATTTAAAAAATATAAAAAGTTTATTAAACTAATTTGAACTAAACAAAATATAATCTGAACTAGATACTCTAAATCAGATTTAAGAAATAATATTTTACTTTCCTAATATATTGGTTATGACTTTTATTTAGTAGAATCATTATTTACAATTTGTTACTATAGAAAAATAATAATATTAAATTAATATAACTTGTTTTTATTATATAATATATATATATATTATTTTACAAATTGTTGACTTTTATTTATTAATTCACTTTGTTATTAAAGTTTACTTATTAATTCATTTTGTTATTAAAATTTTCTTTATTTTAAATATAATATATTTTATTTTATTTTTTTATTAATTTAAGTAATATTTTTATTGTTATATTTGAGAAGTATTAAAAATAACCAATTGATTCAAAATAATATTTTAAGTAAAATTCTCTTTTTCCTTATACAGTGTAATATAATGAATAAAATTGATCTATTGCTTAATTTTTTCAATGTCAATAATCTTTTGTTAAATAATTTTTTAAAGATAGTAACATACTTAAGAGGATTATAAAACTTTTTTTTATTTGTATAATATGATATTGGAAATATTTAGTTGTAATATTTTTCATTGATTTATTCATATAATTTACATAACTAAAAAATTTTTTGAAATCTTTGATAAATATATTAAATTCATAATTTCGATAAAATCGAAACTTATTAATAAAAATTATTTCTTTAATTTCGAATTTTATTGTTGTAATACAGGTCTACTTTCGCAATAATCAATTCAAAAATGATTAACATTTGTCCAATGACACACACAGTTAATTGACCACCCGCACTAAGAAAGGGATGATGATTAGAGAATGGTGCTTAGTCGAATTTAATTAACAAATACTTCGTGTAATATAGAAATGAATTATTGATTCCCTTACGAAATATTAATTGATAGTTACCGAAATATAACTAGTTTTATAATCGAAACCGAATATACAATACAGTGTATTGTTGATTATTTAAATGGGTAATTATTTTCGAAGGCGGACAGGGATTTTTCGGACCTTAGAATTGTGATCCTAAAATTTGCATTATATACGTATTATTAAAAAATGGGGGCCGAAAAAATCATATTTAATATTTTGATCGCCTTCAAGAATAATTGCCCAAATGCAAAAGTTTTGTCCGTGCAGTTTGTGATGGATTTAACGACCTAGAATCATCGGTCACAGTTCGCTTTATGATTATTCGTTATTAAAAAAAATTTTTTTTTTTATTTTTTTTTGTGGAAATTTCACATAATACATTGTGATTGCAAAGATAATGATTTATGAGATATATTAAACCTTTTTAAGGACGCACGTTTTACAAAATACATTGCGAAAATGATTAATGAAGATTCCGAAAAGGAAATAATACATCAAAAATCGATGTTGGTTATCATTTTTTTTTGTGGAAAAACGATTCGACGGCATGAGAGACGCCCTCGAGAAAATCGTTTTTCCCATCTCCATCCTTATCGCCAATCTTACCAATCAAAGTTTTCATTCCATGCAAGAAATTTTCTTCCTTGAATATGTTTTCATGCAATTCAATATGCAAATGCTCCATCAACTTTTCCTCAAATTCTTGAAAGTGTGGGGCCAATGCTAATTGAATCTTATCGGGAAGTTTCTCGAAAATTCTATCTATGAAACCAAAATGCAAACCCCCACCACCCTCTCCTCCGCCCATGAATGAACCAATGACCTTGGTGAAGCTGTGTTTTGTTTTAATTCCACGTTCTCCCTCATGAACCTCCCGACTCTCGTATTCAACGCTCTCCACAGGCCCACCACCAACGCCAAGCCGTTGATACAATTTCTCCTTGGCCTTTACGGGTATCCTTTCACTAACAGATCTATTGATGTCGTCACTAGCGCGTTGAACTGGAGGTCTAATGATTTCCATGATCTTTTCGATTATTCCTTCTCTACCTCCTTTCAAGAATGACAAGTCGATATCTTTCCACCACGATTCGCCATCATCGTCTCTGCTTGTGACCTCCCTGACGGCTCTCTTTGATTCTTTCACCACCACCCCGGTCAAATGATCGGTCGAATCGACGGTAACCTCGTCTAGATGATCCCTGACGACGACACGAATTTCTTCCTTGTATTCATCGGTCAACTTGTCGGCCAAGGATGAGACAACCTGAAGTAGGCTTTCCATCATGCTTTCATGACCATCACCATCATCGGAATGTTTCTTGATAAATTCTAAGACATGAGTGGGAAGCTTTTCAACGATGATGTCCTTAAGTCTCTCCAAGTTCTTGTCGACGTGCTGTCGAATTTTGTCATAATGCTTGTCAATGTATTGTTCGATAGCGTTGACAATATGTTCCCTCATTGCTCGTAAGTTGTGAAGTCGTAGAACTTACTTAAAAAAAAAAGCCGGTGAGATTATAATTCAGTCAATTTATACAAATATCGTAAGATTCACGTGAGGGCTTCTTCAATCCTCTGATGCTACACATGGACAACAAGACTCATGTCGTATCACCGATCATCATACTTTAGGCACTTGCGTTGGGCTCAAAGGAATGTTTACTTCCTCTTTCTAGGGGATGGCTTAGTTCACAATATAACCTTAAACATTTACATTCGATATTTCTCTCGGCTATTACATTCTTGGCAAGATTTTTCTTCCTGCATAATCTAGCGATATATCACTGCATTACGCCACAAAATTTTGGCGCTTTCCACCACACAGTGGTCACCTTGGAAATTAAAAATGACCCGAATTTGACAGTGATTTATTATATAAGTTTGTAAACTTGTTGCACTAACATGGAAATGTTCATTTGTGTTTCATTGATAATTTTATTTCCCTTGGCTGATGATGCCACTTACTGTACAATAAATTTTGACAAGGGCAACAACAATTTATATTATAAAATTCTAGTCTACCTGTGACCCATTCATTACTTAATTAGAGAGGAGAATAAGAAAACAGTAAAGTCGGGTGAATTTATGAAAATGAAGATTAAATGCGAATTTGTGATAATAAATTAATTGACGAATTAGTATGATGCGAATGTGTGAGAAATTGGATCAAAATATTACATGAAAATCACACTCCTCAGGACCACAAGGCAGCGTAGGAACCCTTCAACCCGAGTTGCAGAGGTCCACCACCCGTAAATAATTTAGTTCCCGATTGATCGTATGAAAGTGTGTAAATAGCGTTCTGCAGAGCGTAGCCGGCAAAGTGATTCATGTACAAAGCGTCACGATGCTTCATCAAAGTTGAAAAAAAGATTATGATTAGAAGGAAAAAAAAAAAAAATCATTTTTCACAAGGTTCCCGAACCAAAATGGTTCAATCATTACCAGCCACCCGGACCCCGTTTCTTTATAATTGCAAACCATCGATGATTCGGCAGTGTCGGTGTGCACAGGAAACTCCAAGTATTTTTGTGCGCGCATGTCGTAGAAGGACAATCGGCCGAACCCGCCACCGGTTGTGATGATGTGATTGTTGAAATTCAGAGACCTAACGCCTGGAGGGTAAAAAGGGTTTTGGTGATTCGAAAATAAATATTCAAGGTCGAACGATCAAAAAAAAAAAAAAAAAATTCGATCGCACAAATAAATAATTACCCCAACCATCGTCAACCGAATCAATTTCATGAACTATTGACGCGCTCCTTGGATCCACGACCGAAATGTGCGCTTGAGATCCGACCGCAAGCAAATTGAACTTTGAATTCATCGACAAGCACACGTTTTCATTGGTGTGAATTAGCGGGACCTTGGTTACCTGCGCCCGATGTAAAATCCAGATGATGTCACCACGTGATTGAATAATCCCAACGAATCTTGTGCTTCCATACTTACTTGACTGAGATACGACGTGTCCCATATCCTGACATAACCTGCCGTCGAAAGAGTCATGATTTGCTAATGGGAGGAATTGAGACGAAAAATTAGGACAACAAGTATCTCTGACGGAAGTGACTACAAATACAGCGTGTACCTCCCTATGGTCATCCTCTATAAGAATCATTTATTGCTTGAGACCATCCGACATCAAGCTTACACAAAGGTGCAAGCACAGTGCATTATTATTAATCACCTTTTTTGTTTTCTTTA